ACTACCAAATGGATAAAGACATGTTATGAGAATACAGTGCAGTGCGCAACACATAAATGGCCAAAAAAATATGCCAGAACGTTCTCCCTCCCCACCCCCCCCCACACCCCCCCCCCCCTTTTTTCTCTCCCAACAACAAAATCCAACAAAAGTTTAGGAAGCAACCATCTTGCACCATAGATCGGGAAAAAAAAATCCGTACGAAGAAAAGATAAGGAAAGTTCAGAAAATAGACTAACAGATCATTACCTCATTTTAAATATAGCCAATTAGGCAATGAAAATATCAAACAGATTACCACAACTACCGTGTAAAAGGATCCTTCAACAGTAATAGGTATATGTTTCTGCAAGTTCAAAACTCAAATACCTACTAAACAAAAAGTTCCACATGAAATTGAGTCACACAAAGTAAAAACACAGGCAAGGGTTACAGCTTCATAGGAGACAAAATCTGATACATGTGTGAACCAACAAACCTTTGGGAGGGGAATGAGGGAAGTCATGAGACAGTATCAACTTCATGCGGAAAACACCATTCTCATATGGAGTCCCAGCTGCAAAGGGGGGGATCTTCAATCAGAATAGAAACTTAAATGTTATTAAAAAGAGGGAAAAAAAACTACCTGGCCCCTCAACATCAGCATATATGGTTGAAAAATCATCATCATTAACAACGACTTTAATCCCTTCAGGCGGTGTTTCATCAAGATTCTTCAATTCCTTTGCGAGTTGCTTTATTACGTTAGGAGGAAGATTTTCATTGGTTGCCTACAACAATAAAACATAAGAAAAATGTGTAACAATTCCTTTGACTGCATTAAGTAGTGTACTAATGCTTTTTCATATTTGTGTTATCCTCTCCCTCTCTGGTTTGCCAAAGAATGGCGCAGCTCCAATAGTAGGCAAGTGAGCGAAACACGGGGGAATGGAGATTAAGATAGAACAAAAAAGATTTATGTTGGATTTTGAATGGCAGTTTGGTAGACTGATTTGTATAACGGAATGGAATCATTTCGGTTCCTTTTCATGCTGTTTCAATAAAGGCTGTGTGGAGTGGTTGAAGGAGTCGGTAGGAACTGCTTTGAGTTGGAAAAATAGTGGTGATTTTTTTCAGAAAGTATAGAGATGATGGATTTTGTGTGTGGATTGAAATGGAGACTAGTAGGTTTGGAGATTTTGTTAAAATCACTATAGAATGTTAGGTTATTTTAAATTGAGGGTGGTTTGTTGCAATCCTCAAATTATTATGAGTTAATATAAATACGGATGATGAGTGGACAGGTTAATTAACTCTCACTCTACTTAACCTATTTTATAATCTCTTCTTTCTCTTCTCTCTTCTCTTCTCTTCTCTTTGCCTGTCCTCCACTTTAAATCCTAGATTTAGATTTCAACTTTATATTAGAGTAGGAGGTCCTGTGTTTAAATCTCGCCGCCACCCTAATTATTAAAAGAATTTTCACGTGCTAGGCCCAAAATTTAGCCGGACGTGAGGGAGTATATTAAAGTATAAATACTTGAGTTACACCCTCTCTAGAAGCTTGAACTTTTAACATAAATGGTTGTTTAACATAGAATTAGAGCAATTTATCTAAAAACTTTTAGAGCCACTAGAACACTCAGGGAGGATTTGCTACTAGGCTGCTAACGTCATTGCCGAAATGATGACGTCATTGCCAAAGTCGATTGAAACTGATACAGTATGGCACAGTGTTCCCTCCCAAGTATGATGGTGATTTGTTCGAATTTTTTTTAAATCATTAGAGGTACTTTTCAAATTTTTGAATCCTTTTTCAAAATTTTGGGTCATATTTTTAGTCTGTTGTTTGGTTGAGATTGGGATTAATGCACACTATGGGTGTTGATTGGCCCTCCTAAAAACTAGGGGGAAGGTCCGTGCACAACCTGATGGTTTTGGGATTTTTTTGTGTTTTTTTGGACATCGGCAATCATTTTTTGGTTGCTGCCAGGCTCTGATGGTCTTCTCCCATTATGTTTGAGGCTATGGTTGAGTAGCCAGTGGCAGGAAGTGCTTGGTTGTGTTTTTTGTTGCTCTGAGAACTCCGATGAGTCTGTTTCGACAACTGGTTGTGTTGAACTATGATTTTCAGTGACCCTCCTGTGGCTTCTTTATGTGGGGCAGTCAAAGGCGACTACAGTGATCCTCCTTTGAGTTGGGAAGTCTTCTAGTGGTCCTTATCTATGCTGGGTAGTCCTCCAGTAGTCCACATCTGTGCTGAGTTGGTTCCCATTGGTGTTGGGCAGTCACCAATTTGTCTTTAGCTGCTATTTTGATTCTTTTTCTCGTGTTGGGTTAATCCTCCAATTACCAAGAAGCCATGTTTGACGTTAGTAAAGAATCTACCAACAATGAAGAAAGTGTAGCAAGTCGTGGAGGGACTCTTGGATGCAACCCTTGTCTTCAAATCAGTCCGGTAAAATTGGATGGAGGTAATTACTTGGCGTGATCTCGAACATGCCAGTTATCTGTACGGGCAAGTGGATTAAATGAATACTTGACAAGAACAAATATGAAACCCAAATTTGAACCTGATCTTAACCCGTGGTTCTCTGAGAACATGTTGGTAATAACATGGTTACTCAACTCGATGCAGCCTCACATTAGTCGTGGTTTTCTGTTTCTTGAGACAACATCTGATATTTGATTAGCGATGACTTAGACATATTCACAAGTCGGGAATGATACCCAAATTTATGAGCTCACAAAGAAGATTCATGAATCCAAATAGAAGAATATGATTCTAGCAGAATACTACGCAGGTTTGAGTAGTTTGTGGCAAAAGTTGGATTATTACCAAGATTTTCTAACAGATTGTGCTAAAGACAAGGCTAAGTTTCAGAAGTATATAGCAAACAAACGAGTATATGATTTCTTTACAGGCCTTAATATAGAGAATGATCAAATCCGTATACAGGTTCTGAGTAGAGATCCCTTTTCTTCCTTGAGACAAGCTTATAATTATGTGCAGGAGGAGGAAAGTAGGAGTTCTATGCTTCATACTCTTACTCGTGAGCGTTCTGCCCTAACAGCTATTCCACATAGAGAGAATAGATCCTTTCAGCCTCATGGTGATAGTAAGCATAGGACCACAGAAAAGGATCAATTAAAGTGTGACTACTGTGGAAATACAAGGCACACTAAAGATCATTGTTGGCAACTACATGGTCATATCCTTCTATGGGGCGCGGTGCCCTTCTCATGCCCATATGATTGAGATTGTTGATCCTCCTCCTAGTGGTCCATCTCCATCGACGGATACTGATAATGTGAGCTTCATTGCAGATGAGATGCAGGCTCTTAAGCAGTTGATGGACTAGCTTGACACTTCTGCATCTACCTCCACTTCTTGCTAAAGAGTTTGAGATCAAAGATTTAAGACGGTTACGCTATTTCCTAGGAATTGAAGTGGTCAAGTCAGATAAAGGCATCTTCATCTCACAAAGGAATTATATCCTTGATCTCCAGAAGGAAACCGACATGCTTGGGTTGTAAACCTATTGACTCACCTATTGAGACAAACCACAAAATGAGAAGTGATGTAAGTGATCAAGTGGATAGAAAGATATAAAAGACTTGTCGGGAGACTTATATACCTTTCTCACACTCGCCCAAACATAGCATATGCAGTAAGTCTTGTTAGCAAATTCATACTTGCTCCACGGGTTCCTCATTAAGAGGAAGTTCATCGTATACTCAAGTATCTCAAATCATCTACTGGCAAAAAAATATTGTTCTCAAAGCAAGGTCATCTGAGAATAGAAACTTTCACTAATGTAAATTGGGCAGGGTCAATTGAGGATAAAAAGTCCACTACGGGCTATTGACCTTTGCAAAAAGAAATCTAGTTACTTGGCAAAGCAAGAAGTAATCAGTGGCGACTAGATCTAGTGCAAAGGCAGAATATAGGGTCACGGCTTATGGCATTTGCAACCTTATGTGGCTGACAACCCTAATGAAAGACTTGAGTGTCTTTAACGGTGAACCTATGCGCTTACATTGTGATAATATGGTTGTCATAAATATTGCTCATAATCCGATTCAACATGACACAACAAAACATATTGCGATTGACAGACACTTCATTAAAGAGAAGCTAAATGATGGGTTGATCTGTATGTCATTTGTGACGTTCAAGGAACAACTGACTGAAATGTTTACTAAGGGGCTTAGTAGTAGAATTTTTCATTCAAATATATGTAAGTTAGGCATGAGAGATATCTATACTCCAAGTTCTCCAACTTGAAGGGAAGTGTAGAATGTTAAGTTATTTTAAATTGAGGGTATTGTTGTAATCCTCACATTATTATAAGTTAATATAAATGGGTGATGAGTGGAGAGGTTAACTCTCACTCTCCTTAACTCTATTTCCTAATCTCTTGTTTCTCTTCACCCTTCTCTCTTCTCTCTTCACTCTTCAATCTTCTCTTGTCTCTTCTCCACTCTAAACCCTAGATTTAGATTTCACCTATCACCAAATGATGAGTAATGGAAGAAGGATGGGGCTCATCATTCCTAGAAGCATAGAAAGAAGTGGCAGGGATGTTTTCTAGAGGGTGGGAAAACAGACTCTGTTTCAGGAAAATAGAAATAGAGAACGAGATGATGGGATGGGAAGGAATGGTGTGAAAGGTATCAACTCTAAGGTGATGGCCCAGCTGCTTAAGAGTGCAATCATCGATGAAAGAAGAGGAAGTGATACAGGAGAAAACATCAACATTGGAAGTTTCAAAGAAGATTTTGGAAAAAAAATAATGGATGACCAAGAAGATGAACAGAGGAGGATGATTCTAGAGGTTGAGGAAGGTCATTGTAATGCTCAAATTGTATTGCTTTAGTCAGAAGAGTGCGGCAATAATAGTAGAAGCTCAACAGACTCTTTCCTTCATTGTAATTTGGGAGAGATGTCTGATTTACAATCTAATGAAATTTACTGTGACATGACTAAGATCTTTGGGTCTGGGAAGCAATGGGGAGATGATATTGGGGATCCCATGGTTGCGGCACATTAGAAGGTTAGTCAATACTGTGAGAAAATTGTTCATGCACCGTATTGTAAACTGCAAAAACAAGGTAATTCCAACCTTTTTTCAGAAACGGGTTCTCTTGAGAAGTGTTCCAATCTTTTTTCAGCAATGGGTTCTATTGGGGAGGCTTCCAATCTCTTTTCAGAAATGAGTTCTCTTGGGGAGGATGTGTCTACGTCAGTTTTGGTCTATTCTTAGGGGAAAATTGTCAATCATGGGTTGTGTGTGACCGGTGGGGGAAGCTATGGTTATGGTATGGGTGGTAAGATGAGGAAGATTTCTAAGCTAGTAAAGGGTCAGGGTAGTGTATCAGGTATAGAGGAAGGGTTGATGTGTTGGATTTCTAATGAATTTAAACTTTTTGGGGCCAGGCTAGTTGGGTATCTTCTGACCGGAATGGTTCAATGGGTATCTTGGAGGTTCCTAGTTCAACGTTTTTAAGTGTCAAGCAGGGAGGCGTTCGTGACCCAAATTTGAGTGCTGACAAATGTCATGCCACTGTTAACCATGATCCTAGAGTCTCGAATGCTATATCAGATAGGGCCATTGTGTGTTTTGGTTAAGAAAGAAAAGGGATGAATTCGGGGATAGGCAAAGATGGTAGTGAACAAACTGAATGTTGTGTGTCCAATGATTAGAAATGGATAGTTCAAAAGACATTCTTGGAAAAATGGATTTGTCTTTGGTCCCTAAAAAAAGAAAAGTAAGAAAAAAGCAGATGGAAAGAGTGCGAGGAGGAGGGGAATTAGAGAGTTAAAGAATCTATATTCAGGGATTAATTATTATGGGGGAAGTTTTAGTAGGGATGAGGAGCTTTGGTTGGTTACGAAAATTGTTAATTGGAATGTTAAAAGGCCAGGGGGCCTTGAAGCAAAAATGTCTCAATTAAGGATTTGTTGAATAGAGTGGGGCCTGATATTGTAATACTAGACCAAGATGGAAGTAATTGATAGAGGAACAGTAAAAAGTGTGTGGGTATCCAGGTTTAGAAATGGGGTAGTGTTACCTTCTGTGGGGAAGTCGGGTGGTATTCTCATTATTTGGGATGAGAGGTCTATATCCGTAGTGATGGAAGAATCAATTGAGGGTGAATTTACAATTTCTGTTAAAATTAGACATGGTGATGGTTAGGAATGGTGGTTAACTGGGATATATGGGCCGAATAAACCTAGAGTGATAACAAGGTTATGGGAAGAATTAGCGGTGTTTTTTGGGGTATGTAGCCCTTGTTGGTGAATTGGGGGGGAAGGGGGGGGGATTTTAATGTTATTAGATGGCAAAGCGAAAAACAAAACGGGGGAAGAGTTGCCCCAAGTATGAGGAATTTTGACATATTCATCTGGGAGACTACACTTAGAGATCCTCCTTTGGCTAATGGTACGTTCACATGGTCCAATTTTAGGAGTGCGGTAATATGTAAAAGGCTGGATAGGTTCTTGTATTCTGTTTAGGTGGGAGGATTGTTTTCTTGGGATTAGGTAGGTGGTTTTGTCTACAACTGTATCATACCATTGCCCTATTGTTCTTGGAGATTCAAAATTTAGGTGGGGTCCTTGTCCTTTTAGATTTGAGAATATGTGGGTTGAGCATAAAGGTTTTAGAGGTCTAATTAGGGAGTGGTGATCTATGTGTGAGGCTCTTGGGTGGGAGGGCTATAAATTTATGAAAAAACTTGATCAATAGAACCTCAGTTTGAAAATTTTCACGTTTTCATGACCACCAACTAACTGGTCCAATCACTTCAAACCCACATCACAAGGAACTCCCTCACCTCCTCTCTGTAATCAAAGAACCTAGAGGCCCATACAGATTTTTTGTTTTTGATATTGTTAATGAGACATCAGTGTTTTTTACCTGTGAAAATCTAGGTTTATTTTGGTATTGTTTTTAATTATTATTTGAAATTCTTACTGATGGAAAAACTATGGATGAATGTCTACTGGTTAATGTCTTCAATAACTGGCAAAGGTAGTAATTGGATTGGATGCTTAAATGCATAAAACTGATGATGATTGTTATCTGACTGGATGAGCGTATTTATTTCATGTGATGATGGAGCCCACTAGATTAAGACTATAGATTTGCAAGAAACTCATGACCTTGTTTAACTGATTAAAGGAGTGGAAATCAGAATTAGTAGCTGCCTAGATGGTGCAATCACTGGGTTTTAGGTTCTTGTAGTGGTGGTATTGCAGTGAGCTTTTGACTGTGGTGTTAGACAAGTCCAGCAGGCATAGAGGAAACAGTAACTTACCCTAAAGATTTACATTTTAACTATAATTTGAATTTGAAAAATGCTTAGCCCATCACTTTCACTTGAGCATTGTAATAGATCGTTAGTTCAGGAGTAAGGTCTTCGATACACCTAACCTAGGATGAGAGAGGTATGTGATATCCTTGAAAATACAGGAAAGGTCAATGATATTGTCAGAAACCTCCACGGAGGCCACTGAAATTACCCCTTCACCCCACCCCCCAAACAAAAAAATAAAAAATCGGACTTAGAAACAAAAACAGATGGAGAAACTAACCATAGCCACACAAATAAAGATCAAATTCTCAGTCTGCAACTTAGCTGATAAGAAATCAAAACTGCAAATTGTTTGCTAAAATCTGTAGCAGTGTTGTTCGGAGATACGACGTTGACCAAGCCACAGATAGAAAATCCTGCAAAATAAAGTTTTTCCTCAGGATATAATACAATCCATAATTTGAGCCACTTTTCTTTCTTTTTCCATAATAATATAAAGGTCGACAATCCAGTAGACAAAGAAAAATTGTCAGCCTTAAAGGCTTGTTCATAGTTGATTCATTGACAGTTGCAAGAAACGCCTGAGGAAGAAAGCCAGAAACGCGTAGAGGAAGCAAGCCAGAATAAAGGAGATTCAAAAAAAAAAAAGCATGCTTAGAACCTTGGCACGAAATGCCAACATTAACAAGAACTACAGCATTATACTAGCTTTATATATCCAATCCGAGAATGCCGAACAGAGGCAGAATATAAATCAAGCCATGGTGCAACCCTGTGAAAGCCCACTACTACATAGCCAAATCAATCCTGCAATTTATTTTTGGTGATTGGAAGAACTAGACACATGGAAAACGGTGAAAGGTCTACATAGAACATCCAAAATCTATGCGAATGCAACCTTAAATGATAAAATGTTTCTAGAATTTAAACTCCCAGATAATCTCATTGTCAGATGAGCTTAGAGTTTCCAGGATTACCACCTCCCAATTACAAAGCTAGAAAACTATGATTAGCTCAAACTACAAATTGTCTTGCATATCAGAGATGAACACGCATCCTAGCAAAATTCACAATAACCTGTAAAGAAAACTCCATTAGGCACAAAACAGGCTGCCATCATCTAAGCACCTAGTCTTCTAATGGTGGTCAAAGGAGCATCTGAGAAATGTCACGAGACAGAATTTATATTGGACAAACTTAAAACCCAATAAACACTAATGGTTGCTTCACTTCCTACTCATCCAAGATAGGTCTATCAAATAACTGTTTAATAGGAATGCACATGGCTCACTCAAACTGGTCAATGTCACATATCCTGCAGCTTCATTGCCCAATTTTTAATCATGAATTCCAGAAGCTCAGAAGTATAACCCATCTCTCTGTTCAAAGCATCTGAAGTTGATCATGCTCCAAAGCAGCAAACAAGAAGCCAATGAGTGTGCGTAAATTCAGACATATAGCAACCACCTCAAACCCTAAACCATTGAGACCCATATTCCAATTGCCATAAATTTTCTTGGCTGTCAGCCTTAAAACTTTCATGGAAGATATAACACACAATCTTAATCACACAAGCGAGCATGAAAACAACTTCATTTTGGGAACCTAGATACCCTAGTTCCATAAATGTGCTCCACCACTCAGTGAATTTACGGCTTCATATGTCCTCTCATCCCAACCCTAGTGATAATTTCATATATCTCACACAAAAAATGGAGTAAACAGAAAATTCTTTTTCCTGATGCATAGGCTGCAAAGTTTCAAACAACCATGTTCACATACTTCCTTATACCCAAGGTCAATTATAACTAAAATTCTCAACAAAATCTTCAGCATGAAATACATTCCAACTTCCAAGTGACATTAACACACGCACTAGTTCTTAATGCTAAACAAGTTGGTATAGGTCCACCCTCATAAACATCTTTTTTAACAGCCAAATCCTTTAATTTTGTATACATACAATGTCATGAACTGATTAGAAGAAAAAAAACCTTGCTAGCACAGAAAATGCATCCGATAACTGAGGTTCAATGCATCCCATTGCAAAGGAAATAGAAAACAGAAAAAAAAAAAAAAAAAAAAAAAGAAAGAAAGAAAGAACTTCATAGGAAAATGCATGAACTTAATATCCACATTGTTGATGTTATGTTTATTTCACAACCCAAGTGAAGAAAGCCCTCATCATCCCCAAATCAAGCACAAAGCATCAATCAATTAGAATCCATACAACAAAAAGGTCATTCAAAATCAACAGACAAACACTCCAATGCCGCAGCAGCCCATCACCGCATTGTCCAAAACAAAGTTTAGACTAGCCGACTACCATCACTTTTGAAATTCCAAATGATCTAATCTCCTAGCAAGAAAAAGAAGAATATTTCAACTATGAGCAAATGGTGCCCTTCCACTTCTTTACAACCAATGAACGCAACAATTACACATTCTAGAATTATGTATCAGCTCTAGAAAATTTATGGTTTCCTGATATTCTAAATAACACACTCAGATAAATTTAATTCCATGGGAAGTACAAGGACTCAAAAAAAGAAAATCGTATAACTCATTGATTGTAATTTGGAATGGAAGACACTTAATATGTTTGCTCGCAAAAAAATTTCTTATGATCTACTTCTACATACAAAGGTAGATGTAGAAAAGAGAGATATTTATAATAGAGGGAAGAGCATAAAACATAATTTCGCACCAAATGGTGTACAATAAAAGCAAAATAGCATACGTTCCTACCTCTACTTTGATGGAAGCCTAGCTGCAATCTTGTCCCTCTTTAACATGGCGCAGCATTCTGGCATCAAGAAAGGTGGTTGAGGCGGGAATGCAATGGTGAATCGGAGATTGTCGAAGTGTTCAGGTGAAGAATGATAGGTGGATCCCCAAGCCTTTTTCTTTCAAGATTATTAGCCCATTAACAGAAATGGAGGATTTCTTGGTAAGCTCCTTAATGGAATATGAACATGGTTGCTGGAAAATAAGTTTGTTGGAGAAACTTTTTCTCCCATGATGTAGAACAAATTCTGGGCATTCCTATTTGTGATCATTTTTCAAAGCAATCAATTGGCTTGGCACTATAACAGATCTGGCCATTTCTCAGTGAAAGCGCCCATCCTTTGATTGTGTATTGTGGTCTACATCGTGTTAAACAAATTGAAGGTGCTCCTACTCATAGTGAGGGTAAACGTTCAGGAAATTTCATTTGGTCTCTTAGGATTCCCAAAAAGATCAAAATATTTTCTTGGAGAGTCATTAGAAATATTCTGCCTACTCATTGCAATTTGCGACAAAGGCGAATTTTTGTTCATACCAATTGTCTATTATGTGATGATCCAAATGAATCCATGTCTCATATATTTTTTGAGTGTCCAGTTGCCATGGCTGTTTGGAAACTTTCTGGGTTTACACACGACTATGAGCATGAAGTTATATTTAAGGAGTGGCTGTTGGGCATCCAAAGTCGACTACAAGCCGATGAACAAGCTTATTTTTTGTTCTTCTCTGA